TGTTTAGTACTCTGCCGTGGCCCACCATACAAATGAGGTTCTTCCATCAAATAGATACCATTTGACAGTTCATCTGAAGAACTAAAAATATTAAATGTACTGAGTTGGAGAAAATTATATAAATTAGAATCCCTTTCTTTCCAGGAGGGCCTTGCATTTCTTCAGAAACATTTCTTTGACCAGTTACCACAACTCCTAGGGCCCAAGAATGCATGGAACTACACTACAGGAGAAAGGGGGAGGATTTTAATGATGGCACCAGAGAGAGAGGAAGCAGAACCAGAGGAGAGGTTGAACAAGGATGTGCGAAGCCACCCCATGTTCAGTTTAACTGCCAAACTCACTGTGTGTGACCTGTGTGTGCTAGTGTGAGAGTGGGGCAGGATGTACGCAACTGGAGCAAACACAGAAGTCAAGGAAAGCCAGGAGTCAAGACGCAGGTGCCTCAGGGTCTCCAAGAAGGATGCTGGATTCTACCCAGCCAAGAGTCCCGATGAGTAAGGGGATTCCATGGCACCCCACTGACAAATGACTCTTACTGTGCACACACGCTTCAAATGTCTAAAAACAACTTCACATAATTTACTGATTTGTGGCCCTTAAATTTATGTACAAACACCCACTCACCTGTAGCACTAACAGCTGAGTTTACCAACAAGAAAGAGAAACCTCCAGGGCCAGAAACAAGAATCGACAGCAGCGAGTCAGTTTAAGCCGAGTGATCACAAGAAAGCAGGAACTTATGTGCCTGGAGTTGTAACTTCGGCTTGGACATCGATTAAATCAACTCACTGCTCTGGCCTGTGAGGAGCTTTCCAACCAGAATCTCTCAGGCTGGGATCGAGGCACCAGTCCTTCCAAAGCTCCTCAGATGGTACCATTCTGCAGCCAAAGTATTAAGCACTGTTGAAGGGCAGGGTCCCCAACCTCCAGGCCCTCGGGACTGGTACCAGAACAGGCCACACAGCAGGAGGTGAGCAGCAGGCTGTCAAACAAAGCTTCATCTGGATGTACAGTTGCTGCCCACCACTCACACTACCACCAGCACTCCACCTCCCGACAGATCCGCAGGCATTAGCTTCTCACAGGAGCACGAACCCCGCTATGATCTGTGCATACAAGGGATCTAGGTTGCCTGCTGCTTATGAAACTCTAATTCCAGAACCAACCTCCAACCCTGTCCCTGTCAGTGGAAAAATCGTCTTCCATGAATCCAGGTTCCTGCTGCACTACAGATATCGAGTTACTATTTGAGTTATTTGACTAGATTTTGCTAAAGAAAGAACCATGGTTTTTCTATCTCCTCCAGAAAGTTTTCATAACTCTTCCTACCGCAGGTCGAAATACAGACGCATGTTGCCCATATCCCCTCCATGTGAGGAACAACCGTGTCACAAAAGAAATTCCCCTGGTCCACCTTGACTTATTCCTAAGGACCTTCCGAGCACCAAGTGCTGCTAGTCTTTGTCTGAATACTCCCAAGCCACCCTTTTCCTAACCCAGCTAGAAAGCTTTCCCAGGTCTAAAGTGATCTTACAGACAGGGGCATTATAGTTTCTGTCTCTGACTGTCCAAAATCTTACAACACACCCTACAACGTAATAAAGACCACACCACATTTAAGGGATGAATAGGTGAATGGATGTGTTGGTCTTAAAAGCGCTCTGCCTCGCAAGCCATCTACCTGTCCTATTTACAAAGGCAACGCTGTCCACCATGAGCTATTTTTAAAGGTCTCACAAAGAACCAAGTCTGCTCCTGACTACTACTCTCTACCTACTGAAGTCAGGCTTGGGAATTTAGGGCGCTGCTGGCAAAACCACGTGGGAAGCTAAATTTAGCGTTGAGCGGCAGTGTGGAACGACTTCTATCCCTGGACTCACCTCCAGGTCCCACCCCTTTTAAAAATATCCAGTGACAGATTACATCAGCTACAAAAACATCCTCCAGCTTAGAGTGAAAGGCAAACTCCACCCGTATCACATTGTAGTCACGCTTCAATGAGTCCTCCAGGAATGTATCTATAAAGAATCCATCAGAGAAAAATGGTGCAATGGCTCTGCTGGAGAAATGATACAGCCACAGAGCTTAAGATTGCCTTTGAAGTGGACAACTACTGCTCATGACCAAGTGGCCCGGCCCCATCCAGAGCTGCCCCTCACCTGTGGGAGCCCTCTGCTTTTATGGCCCACGCAGCACCTCTTACCTGCCTGAACGAAGGCTATTTGGACAGAACAGGGGTGGGTCTGTCCACCAAGGGAAACCTGCAGGCCTTGGGTTAGCCTGTGACACCCGCTGAAGCCTGTAACTCTGGACCATGGCAAGGGTAAATGCATATCCGCATGAAACTACAAATGCGCGTGACTTTCACTCCATCCTTTCCCATACTGCTTCAGAGGAAGCATGGAGGTCTCCCTCCGCTGCGGTCCCCTTTGGAGGGACAAAGGGCAGGCCAGAGGTGGGGTTACTCTCAGGAACACAGAGCCGATACTGAGCGCCTGCACGGCTGGGGACTGGCTCAGGATCCGTGTGCAGCACACAATGCGAGTGCGGGACGCTGGCTAGGAGGATGCGTGAGAAGTTCAGCTGCGACCGAGGAGGCGTTGCCCCGCCTGGTGAATGCTACTGCCTGCCTGCAGACCTCTTCCTAGGCTGCCAGCGGTCTGTGGGATTGCAGCACCACACAGGTCCAAGCCCCCGGACATCCCCGGTCCCATGTTGGAAGCCAGTGTTGGAGGCTCTGACTCACAACTGCCCGGAAGAAGGTCAATGCTCCCGTCTCCTGACAGTGTGCTCAGCTCTTCCACTCTTTTCTCCTCCCAACCTCTGCCCACGGCTTAGCCTCCGTCTCTTATTCATGCACTGTAACTCAAGCGGCTGGAGCAAGGGGCCCTCTAGTGAGACCTCAAGGCCCATTCCTGCATCTTGGGAAGGGAGGAACAAGAAGTGCGTGCGTGCGTGCGTGCGTGGGTTCATGCATGCGTGCGTGGGTTCGTGCGTGCATGCATGGGTTCGTGCGTACATGTGTGTGTGCGTGCGTGCGTGCGCATGTGTAGTATACAGCACTGGTTACAAGGAGAAAAGAGCTGAATTTTTATATAATAAAATAAATCCTTAAACTAAACTATAGTAAGTAACTAAAGGCTGAGTATCCCTTATCCAAAATGTTTAAAACCAGAAATGTTTCTGATTTCAGAATTGTATAGACTCTACTGGTTGAACATCTCTAATGCAAAAATCTGAAGTTTTAAATGCTCCAAAATCTAAATATCGGGAGCATCACACTCAAATATTTCGGAGCATCTCCAGCTTCAGATTTTTAGATTATAGAGATTCAACGTTTAGTAAATTACTGATTAAAAAAAAACTGCTACATTATTTATTTAATTGCTGCATTTCTCATTCTGAGCAAAGGATGCCTATTTGGGGATCAGTCCTCGGCCATAGGAATAAACTCCCAGGACACTCAGGCTCTGATGATGTCTCTGGGGGCCCCTGGTTGGCCCCACAGAGTCTCCTACTTGGGGACAGCACCCCCACCTCAGCGCCCTCCTTGGGGTTGCTATGGCCATAGAGCACACATCCATCCCTAGAAGTCGAGAGAGGAGAGGGACAGAAAGGAAGAAACTGCCCCTTACAGCCAGAACAAGAAGTCTTGCCTGTGTTAAGTAGTAATGCTTTGCTCATAAAAATTATGAATATGAATTTGCTGGGGGTGCCTGACCGAGTCTCTTAACTTCTCAACTAGGGCTCAAGTTTCCCTACAAAGAGTTCGATAATAAACATTTCCCAGCTGGGGATCTAGCTCAGTGGCACAAGCGCCTTCCTGGCAAGCACAACATCCTGAGTTCGATTCCCAGTGCCAAAAAATAAAAACGATAATAAACATATCCAACACGGTGGGCTCCCTGTCACTGTTGAAACCACTCCACCCTGTCGTGAAGGACTGGGAAGCACCAGCAGATAATATGTAAATCGATGAGCAGTAAACTTTATTTATGGGCACTGGTATTTGAATTCCTGTCATTTTCAAGCGCTATGAAATATTACTCCCCGTTGACTTCTTGCAAGCCTGTGTCAATATAGAAAGATTTCTTAGCTCCCAAAACACACAAACACGGGGCCTGGAGAGTGACAGCAGGTGCCTCTCTAGTTCTGGTCTCCTAAGAGTGGGTGGCACTCTGGCATCAGGCAGCATGGCATGATGGATGGAGGATGGATTCTGAGGCAGGAGCTCTGATCAGAGCTCGGCCACTCACTATGGAGCAGCCCTGGCCACACTACCTCCTTCCCAAGGACGTGATTAGGAGCAGATGCTATAATATGTAAATAGCAACTGGTATACATCATAAAGGTTTGTTTCTTCCCTCTGAGCTTAAGACTTTCATACCCAAATTCTGAATGTAGCACATCACCTTAAACCTAACAGGACATCACGTATTTCCCTAGCGTTTCTGGTTACAGAAGTCATGTTTACAAGCTAGTATCTTAACCTGCACAAACAGCTACATTCAGTGCTATCTCAAGCTGAGAGTCTTCTGCCTGAAAACCAGATAAAAGAGAAGAGTCGAGCAGAACCAGCACGAGTGCTGGGTGTCTGCCCTCACCGTATGGACAGCAGGGTCGGGATCAGCGCATGTGTCTTGTTCCGGAGTTAGCATCTATATAATCACACGGGTGGCTGAGTGCTGTGGCATCTTGTGGTCATATGACCCTGGTCATATCAAGTGACCATTATCACATCAGAGCCACAGGAGTTATAAATACGCCACCGCTGAGCTCCAATTGAAGGACAATTGAATCATGACAATAGAAATAGCTCCTGCTCCGGAAGACCATCTTTCCCCTCCTGAAGAACTCTTCTGAAATCAACTGCCTTACAATGGAGAGACGGCCAGAGGCGGTCAGAGGAAAACTGCAAATCCTTCAGAAGATGGAGAAAGAGCCTCAGTTGCAAGCAAGGCCCCCAGAACTCGAGTACTATGCTGCACTGATTGAAGGAGACCTGGACCACGTCCAGCTCCTCATGGACCAGTTCTTCCAGGATGCCAACCTGGTGTTTGAGATCAGTAAGGACGAGATGGAGTGGCAGGTGAAATCCCCAGCCACGTTTGGGCTGTCAGGTACCCTCCCTCTTTTAAAGCTTGGTTATGCACTTTTTAGGGAGTTGCTAGGGGTCCCGCGTGTGGCTTGGGCTTGTTCACAGTGCATCTAAGGAACATCTGTAAGGAAAGGGCGCCTGCTCTAAATGAAATTTGACCATCAGGGGTTTTCAGGTGTGGCTTTGGGTGATGGGCTGTGAGAGATGCAAGTGGAAAGGCAGCTGACTGGTGAGAATTGCCCTTTGATGATGCTGGGTATGCCTCCTGCCTCGAAAGAGGAACCTTGGGTTGGGTGCTGATCCGCTAGCACCTACACTTGGCAGCCAGGAGGCGGGAGCCAGAGGAGGAGGACAGCCAGGCCCTGGCGCGCAGCTCCCTGTGATCCTTCTATGAATCTGTGAATACCACAGCTCCGGGGTGGAGGGAGCACTTCCGGCGTCCACAGAGGGAGGAGCACAGGGCCCCGAGCAGAACCTCCTCTTGGAAGCCAGGGAAGCCTTAAGCATGATCGCTCTCACAGGACAGGAAAGCAGACCCCCGAATGTGCAGGCCCTTCCACCTGCCCAGCTGAACCTGGCACCCCACCCACCAGGGGGTTCATATGTTGGGATCCAGCCCAGCTCTGCCAGACAGTGGGAATTTGAGAATCTGCCACAAACATCTCCTGTCCCTGATCTGTGAGTCCTGATCGCAAAGGACTGTGGAACCAACTCGGTTGTGTTTGTATCTCCCCTGGGGAGGGAAAAACCCGAAACCCTGACCAGGGGCTGGGCAGCTCCTACTGTGCTCTGAGGAGGCGGGGCGGGAGCGGTGCCAGGCAGGGTCTGGTGGGCTCCGCAGGCGTCTGTGCCCAGGGAGCTGCAGCACCTCCCAGCAAGCCCTTCTGGGCCTGCTGTCCTTCTGCTGCCCGGACAAGGCCAGCTGCTTGAACGTGCAGCTGTGCATCTTGCTCGGTCTCATGCTACTCCTCTGGCCACACACGCTCCAGCGTCGCAAGGTCAGATGGACGGCGTGTTAACCCATCTTCTACATGCTGCCCATGTCCAAAGTCTGGCTCCCCTCTCCTGGGTAATCTTCCCGCCCTCGCCCCTGCAGCTCTCCCATGGCAGCCCGCACAACAGGAAGTCAGAGTGTGCCAATGGCAAAGAGGTGCAGAAATAGCAGCCCAGAAAGACTATTGGCCCAGGCTTGCAATGGATTGGGAAGCGGGGTGCTCAGTGGGATGCGCTCCTTCCCTCCCCTTTCTTCCCCTCCCCTGCCTTCCCTTCACTTCCCCTCCCTCAGGAATCGGGTGCTCAGTGGGACTCTGGGCCTTTTCAGCCCTGCCGCCTGCCCTCTCTGCAGCAGGAACAGCTCCTGTGCATGAGCAGCAGCCCTTCTCGTCTGCCCTCACGGGCATGAAGGCGTCCTGGCCGCTGGTTCCATTCTGCCTAACAGGGATCATGGGCAGCGAGTGCTCTGGGGACTCCCGGCTGGTCCTCAGGGGCCGGCCCTTAGTCCCCTCCATGGCCGGGTGCTGTCCCATCCGGCTCCATTCCTGAGGGGCTGGCGTGGACCAGGTATGTGGGAGGAGGCCCCCACGGAGGAGAAACCGCACGCCTGTTCCTCCTCGTGGCAGACTGGGACCAGGGTGGGGCTCTGCGCTGCTGACTCAGCCCTCTGGCAGAGAACGGCCTCCGAAACCTGGCTTTCTGGTTGGCCTGCAGGAAGCCCAGTGGTACCTGCCGGGACCTGGGGACAGGGGCTGGCCCCCTGCTGCAGCTGAGCCAGATGCCCACCCCAGCCCTTCCTATCAGTCTGCAGGAGACTCAGGAACCCAGGATAGGGGAACACAGCTGTTGGCAGCGGGTGAGTAGGGCTGGGAACTTAGCAGGCTTTGCAGAGGCCAGTAAATCGACATTTCCCATCAAAGTAAATAGAATGGAAGAGCCAAGAGTTGGCCCTGCAGGAATGTAGGCTAGTGCTATCCATAAGGACCGCCTTCAGCAGGAAAGACAAGCCCCAACCCATGCAGGCCCCAGCCCAGGGCCTCTGACCACCAGGGACGGCAGACCGCCCCTCCCCCACCAAGTGGGCAGCAAGCTCCCGGCCGGGCCTTTGGGACACGGGCAGGCTGGGGTTCTGCTCCACACACAGGTAGGTAGTTAATGAGTGGTCTTTCAAACCTGCTCAGCATGGGTCCCGGGAAGGAGGCGGCCTGCAGAAAGGGTCTCCCCCGCAGCTCGTTACAGCCGCGGTATCGATCCTTCCATCATTATCAGAATGCCTGGCTGCCTGCACCCTGCCCCTTGATGTGTGTTCTCCGGACCACCTCCCCCATGTCCACGGGTGCCTCTGCCGCTAACAACCTTCCACGGGCTTTTTAAAAGCACCAAACTTTTCAGAGAAGGGAAATGTATAGCACGCGCTTCATTCATCCCTCAAGAAAGCTCAATCCTGGACACACCACACACACCCCTGAGAAGCGCAAAGAAACCAACCAGGATGGCGCTGATCAAAGCAGCCTGGAGACCCCAGCCACTCCCAAGAGGGCTGAACTCGTCCGGGTCCTTTTCTTGAGCAACCTTGGTGGGCGGGCAGGTCTGTTTTGTCGGTTCCTCACTGAACGATGAGTGGTAAGCTTGGGGCTCAACCCAGCCCCTCCCCACTCGCGTCCAGCGGCCCCAGTTCACACCTCGGGAACTGCTGGATTCTGCACTTAGATTCACCCCGCTATGCACCGGGCTCCTTCAGCTCATGACTCCTTGAATCGCACCGCACCGCCCGGTCAGCCCGCATTCGGCAAAACCCCTTGCATTTCAGGCCCACCCCCGACGCTGGCCCCGCCACCGCTCCCGAGCGCTCCGCTTTCTCTTCCCCGGTCCGCATCTCGGCCTCCCCGCAGTGCGGGGCTCTGGGGCTCTACCCCCGGCCTGCCCCCCGCACGCCCACCTGGTCCCCACTCCAGGAGAATGGCTTCACTGCCGGGCTCAGGGGTCCCCACCTGCTCCACTCGGCTGACACCTCCCACCTCCCCCCCAGGCCTCTGGACCCTGGAGTACAAGCGCGAGCTCACCTCGCCCCTGCGCATCGCGGCGGCCCACGGCCACACGGCCTGCGTGCGACACCTGCTGAGCCGCGGCGCCCACCCCGACGCCAGCCCGGGGGGCCGC